TGAAATTATGTGAAGACCCATAGCATTTTGATGAACTCACCCCCCTCCTCTCCTCCCCCCCCCCTTCCTTCCACGACTGATCATTTACAGAGCTCGTAAATTAGAATAATGACATACGGTGGGCAATTACTTACAGGCCTGTTAAAGACTTACAAAACGATTTTATTCTCACCCACCAGACTATCTGAATAGCTCGTGCTGACAACGGTATGAAGGAATTTTTATGTCTGTTGGTTCTGGCTTTTTTTCCCCTTCTCTTTTCTAAAGAATAAAACATTTTCCCCTAACAGAGATGTCTTTTAGGCTACCATTAGCGAGCCGGTGCCAACGGCGCAGTAGAACCGGTGTCACGGCAACGAGCTTTTCTCCCAAACAAAACTGTGTCTTCAGCCACACCCACAGTTTGTGAATCACAAATTCCAGAGAAGTTTGTCGACGCGCAGAGCCTTTCGGTGCCAGTGGGTAGTTTGCGGATGCTCTGGTGTAGTCTGATCCTTCTGTCCTATCAAACACTCCTTCTTTTATCTCTATCATCTATCGCCCTTGTCTGTCCTCCTTCTTTTCTTTGCCATGTTACTCAATAGCTAACCTTCGGCTCATACATTGTATTTGATCTATTTGTTTTTTGGTTTGTTTTAGTATTGGGTTTTACGGCGCTTGCAACAGCATAAAGTCATATGAGCGCGATCTATTTGTGTTGCGAGTGCCGTGAAACTCTTACCAAAAGTATAATATTGCTGCTGGTACCGTGGAGAAGACTGTATCCACCCCACCCCCCACCCCCACCACATCCCCGTATGCCTCATTCCACTGCTCCTCTCCCGACATTTCTTCTTGGTTCCAAAGGTCTAAGACACCGGCATTTGATATTCAGCGTTCCTATTTTTTTCCTTTTTATTTTTTGGTTGGCGTTTCGTTGTTTAGCTTTATAAATCCAATGATATTATCATTTTTCTTTCTTCTCCTGTTTTCTTTAGAGATGCTTGATGGGCTCTCGTAGCTGTGACGTACGCCTTAAATTTGCCATGTTTTGATGTAAATTCTAGTTCTTGTTCTAGTTTACGTCCTGGTGAAATGTGGCCGCTATTCAGTTGACTAAAACAAAACGACATATTTTTGTAAAGCATCCTTATCTTTATCTTCCTGTTTTCTTTTCTTCCAGTTTTTCCTGTTATTGCCAGGTGCTC